TATATTTTTTTTTTTTTAAAATTATATATATATATATATATATATATATATATATATATATACTTAATGAAACTATTATTATTATTAAATATATATCAAAATGAATTACAAAAATACCTTATATTACATAATATAAATGCATTTAAATTATTATAATTATTATTAAATAATTATATATAACATTCTACAAATATTGATATAATTTGCTTTTTCTCAATAATTCTCCACTTAACGACATGTAAAAACAAAAATACAGTAAGAAAAATAACTGACGATATCTAAAAATATTGTTCATGAATAATTAATTGCATTAGCTTAAATCGAAGCAAGTGTCATCTAGCGTCATCTCATTGGTCAGTCCAACAGGTAGCCCCGCCCCAAACTCACATCATTGGCCGGGCCGCCAAACAAACAGATCAATGTTTTGAAAGTGCAAAACTACCGACGACCTGAACGTGAATTCAGTGTTTGCACATCATGACATCACACAGTTCATGAGAAATCAGCAGATTCAGGGAGAGTAACCAGGAGAAATCAGGAGTTTGTACGCTCTTCCCATGCAAACACATGCCATGACAGCGGCTGCAGACTTCACTGCCAGTCTAAAAGCAGCAGAACTGCAACCAGATGAATGTTTTATATCACAGAGTTTAATGAAGCATGGGCTCTGTTCTGAAACCTAGTGAGATGCCTATGCAGACTGCATCACATTTTTAATGAGTCTTATTTTCCAGTTAAAATATAGAAATATCCTTAAAACAAGATCAATTTACTTGAGAAGCAACACTGCATTTTTTGCATGATGCATTAAATTGATCAAGTGACAGCAATAATAATGTTGAAAAAGATTTCAGTTTCAAATAAATGCTGTTCTTTTGAACTTTCTGTTCATCTGTGAATCCTGAAAAATAAAATGCATCACAGTTGCCACAGAAATATTGTGCAGAAATTATTGTATTCACATTTTATTATTAAATACATTTAAATAAATTATTAATAATAATAAATTATATACACAATGTAAAACATGATAAAAATATTGATAACATTTGCTGTTTCTCAATTCTCTACGTAATGAAACTATTATTATTATTATTGTTTATTATAGTTATTAAATATATATCAAAATTAATTATATAAATACCATTATTTTTATTATTAAATAAATTTATATTATTATTATTATTAAATTATATATATATATATATATATATATATATATATACTTAATGAAACTATTATTATTATTAAATATATATCAAAATGAATTACAAAAATACCTTATATTACATAATATAAATGCATTTAAATTATTATAATTATTATTAAATAATTATATATAACATTCTACAAATATTGATATAATTTGCTTTTTCTCAATAATTCTCCACTTAACGACATGTAAAAACAAAAATACAGTAAGAAAAATAACTGACGATATCTAAAAATATTGTTCATGAATAATTAATTGCATTAGCTTAAATCGAAGCAAGTGTCATCTAGCGTCATCTCATTGGTCAGTCCAACAGGTAGCCCCGCCCCAAACTCACATCATTGGCCGGGCCGCCAAACAAACAGATCAATGTTTTGAAAGTGCAAAACTACCGACGACCTGAACGTGAATTCAGTGTTTGCACATCATGACATCACACAGTTCATGAGAAATCAGCAGATTCAGGGAGAGTAACCAGGAGAAATCAGGAGTTTGTACGCTCTTCCCATGCAAACACATGCCATGACAGCGGCTGCAGACTTCACTGCCAGTCTAAAAGCAGCAGAACTGCAACCAGATGAATGTTTTATATCACAGAGTTTAATGAAGCATGGGCTCTGTTCTGAAACCTAGTGAGATGCCTATGTAGACTGCATCACATTTTTAATGAGTCTTATTTTCCAGTTAAAATATAGAAATATCCTTAAAACAAGATCAATTTACTTGAGAAGCAACACTGCATTTTTTGCATGATGCATTAAATTGATCAAGTGACAGCAATAATAATGTTGAAAAAGATTTCAGTTTCAAATAAATGCTGTTCTTTTGAACTTTCTGTTCATCTGTAAATCCTGAAAAATAAAATGCATCACGGTTTCCACAAAAATATTGTGCAGCACGACTGTTTTCAACATTGATAATAATCAGAAATGTTTCTCGAGCAGCAGATCGGCATATTATACTGATTTCTGAAGATCATGTGACACTGAAGACTGGAGGAATGATGCTGAAAATACAGCTGCAAACACATATGCACATAGAAAACCAGTACTTTAAATAGTAATAATATTTCACAATTTTACATTTTTTTCCGTATTTTTGATCAAATAAATGCAGCCTCGATGAACAGAAGTGTGTGTGTGTGTGTGTGAGAGAGTGTGCGTGTGTGTGTGTGCGCGCGTGAGAGTGTGTGCGTGTGTGTGCGCTCGTGAGAGAGTGTGCGTGTGAGAGAGAGTGTGTGTGTGTGTGTGTGTGTGTGCGCGC